AAAAAACGTGTGAAACGATAAACAGACCACGATGGGCATGCATAAGCACCAAATTCCTAGAAGAGACTAACAAAGTTAAACCACGACTAAGAACCTCATCGATGATACATGATTAAAGAGGGAAAACGGATCTCCTTAGCAGACCCTTCTTGTGTAAAGTATAGTCTTAAGTGTTTAGCTTTCCTTGTCAAATATTGTAATTGAACCATCACACATGCTCAATCTAACTTTAGGATATACTCTGATTATGGGTTGTTGCTGCTGGAGGAAATGTTCATGGAACTTAGAGTTAATCAAGCTACAATTATTAAGCAGCACGTTGCTTTGTGGAAATGGACATATAGCAATAAGAGGAAATATCGAATCCTTTGTTGATTTTTTTTTTTTTTTTCTGTTTCTACACCCATTATTATCAATTCTTTCATGATTTCTGTTATTAGGAATTCATGAAAGAATTGACAACAATGGTGAGATGTTAGGAATTCATGGTGAGATGTTATGTAGATGAGAGTTTTTAACTTCTCATTCCTGTTATTGTTGTGTGGCAACTCAATTTGGCTTTATCTTACTATGTGATTCTAGGAAGCTAGTGCCATTCCTTTTGCTTCTCTGACTGCTTGGCGAGCCCTCGTAAGTACTGCTAGGAAAACTAAGGGGTATGTTATCTCGGATATTAACTTCCTTCCTTTGATGTATCATGATTCTTCTGTTAAAGCTGTTGTCATCAGGAAGCCATTGTCATTTTCTTTCTTTTTTTCGATTGCAAAAGCTGTTATCGTTTTCACATGGGGGTAAATGTTTCTTTCAGTAATGAAATTTGTTTCACTATACTAGAGATGTTGAACTTTTGTGTCCAAACTTTTACCATCTTCCCAGCATTTTTTAGGTAAAAGGTATAAAAGAAAGTATAACATTTATTTTTGATGTTGTGTCTTTGCGAAACATGGATTGAGAGGCAGCTGAAGCTTTATATTATTTTGGTGTAGGGATTTGATTATTTTGGTGTAGGGATTTTTATTAACTTGTTTGTGCTAAATTATTAGGTATCAAAGAAATTAAAGTTTTCTGGCTTGCCGTAGAACCCTGGTTATGCAAGATGAGGAGTATGCTGGTGCTCAGGGGTGCACGGTGGTAGAATCGCAAGGGATTAAGATAGAACTGCTCTGTTGCCACGGTAGCTGGGGAGGTCTCTGGAGCTGCACAGCGGTCTGATGATGAGAGGGTGTACTGGCGGAGTGTAGTTTGTAAGTACTGATAAATTGCTTGGTTTTGCTTCTGGGGTGGTGGTTGTGTTGATTGAAAGTTCCTGATTGGATATCAAATTTATTGCTTCTTTAGGTTACATAGTCTTGTTTGGCATGTTTGCAATTGTGCTTGCTGCTCATAATGGATAGCGATAAATTACCGTTACTGATTATCATGTCTTTCACCACATCGTGCGGTATTCGCACAAAAGTCCAGATAACTCCCACGAACCCAACGATATGTTTACTAACCCGGAATGGGAGTGGCGCGGAGAGGAGTCATTCCCATTTCAGAAAGAGAAAAGCAAATCCCATCAACTGCACAACTTAAGTTGCATCCAACGTGTGCATAGCTGCATGCCAAAATAACCATTACCCTAAACTGCTACATAACCATACTTTACTAAACTGTTCAGCCAGATTTGACCATCATATTCAGTACTGTAGCACATACGATACACAGTACGTGCAAACCAAGAAACACTACGAAATTTGCTAGGCAAAAACACAATGATGTAGGACAAGCAACCATAGCGAAAAGGTAGAGAACACTAGCATCAGACTAGCGGGGATTCTAGGAATCGCACCTACGGTTAGATTGCACCACAATCCTTGAAAGAAGCTTATACTTGCTAGAGATAAGAGTTCGTAATGAACCTAGGGTTCTATGACTTTTGGACTCCTCAATCATAACACACTTTACTTCATGGTTTTCACATTTCAACAAAGCATAGAAGACTGATAACAACTATGAGTTCTAGGCTTCCCTTACAATGAAAACATAAATGAAAGATATAAACAGTGTCATGTACAGCACGATAAAAGCCATAAAAAAACTTTTTGGGTGTTGCTGTGTAGCTGCAATACAGACCACATGAAACAACATCCCATGATTGATCCCACAACATATTCAAAGGTTTGGGCACCCTCTTCTGCGTCTCCTGGCATTCCCCAGAATCCCAATTCCAAAATACAAACCATTGGGTAGGAACCTTGAAACACCACTGCATATTAAGAGCAAATACGGAGCTAGTACCTTCCATTCCAACCCGCTTGTTAACTGTCCTTGCATAACCAGGGTTCTACGGCAAGCCAGAAAACTTTAATTTCTTTGATACCTAATCATTGAATTGAATAAAGGAAAAATTAGTATTTGGTCCCTAGTTACTAATGTTCATTGACTAAGACATTATGAACTTATTTCACTACTCTATTTTTGTAATCTTTGAATTGAATAAAGGAAAAATTAGTATTTGGTCCCTAGTTACTAATGTTCATTGACTAAGACATTATGAACTTATTTCAATTTGGCTTGGCATGATCAATACACATGGTTTTGCATGGGCTTAGTGTGAATTTTTTCGAATATCAGAATTATGAATTATCATTCCTTTTGGCGTGGTATGAATGTGAATTTGTATACTCCTCATTTTGCACTCTACTCATGAATTTGAGCTTGGTTTGCTACGAATATATAATGACTAAGCTTCCAAATATAATTGGGCTTTTTAGTGAAATTTTTGGGTTTCCTGCTACATTGCGTTGTTGTTTCCCAAGTCTCAAGTTGCTTCATGTTATTATAGATCTTGTATTAGGTGATACCTCATTGGAAAAGCTTTTCTGTAACTCCCTTGTTCTTGAAGATTTGGATATACATCCATTTTTCGGAAGAGATGCAATGAATTTCAACATATTTGCTCCTGAATTAAAGACTTTAAGAACAACTGTGAAAGATATAGAGTTATCAAACTATTTATTTGTCAATGCCGCAAATCTTGAAAAACTTTGTGTCATGGGGTTTGCATCGTCAAGGCAACACTCTGTCATATTGAATGTATTTCTCACATAGATGATGTTCAACAGTCACGTCATGAGTTGATGTTGTATTTTTTATTTACATGCTGATGTGCAACACTCTGTCATATTGAAATGCCTCAACACTCTTGTCATATTGAAATGCCTCAACAGCTTTGATTGAGTTGGATTATTGTTGTCCATTTACATGCTTGGCAAATGCACCACCAGCATATACACCCACTTACGGCATTGACACCATAATGAGTTTATTGTTAAGTAGTTTGCATTTGAGAATTATGTCGTCCTCTTTCTGTCATGGGAAAACAGTTTTGAAATGGATATGAATAGGTTTCGCATGATTTTGGGCCATCCCATTTCTTTTTGCATATCATTTTTCTCTAATGGACCAAGTGGGTGGTGCATGTATTGACGCATTGACTCTCCGTAAGGTCAGATTTGAAAGCTGATGCTTGTGATGGAAATGGTGATGAATTTGAAATGTTAGTTTTGATGTTTAAGTTAGATTGGACTCTCATATATCTTCCAGTTTTATCATTTCCCATTTCTCACAAAACACACAGTTTTTAAAATATGTTTGTCTTGGGGTTTGGATCCAGGGGCTGTAGTGGTTGTGTCGGGCTCTGATCTAGGAGCCACAGCAAGGGACACACCTGACATGTCTTTTTCTTTATCGAGATGTCAATAAATTTTGTTGTCAAAAGGTGATTAATTGGGTACTAATCAACCTAGCTAGATAATACAAGGGTTATATGTGATTAGTTTTAATTTAATGTTACTTTTCCTTCCAATACTAGTCGCTTCGATTTAATACATGTTTAGGTCTGTCACAAATTTTTTTGGATCACTAAAGACAACAAATGCCTAGTTGAAGAGATCTCAAGTTCGAAAACCTCCAGCTTCATTGACAAAGAAAAAAACAGTCAAAGGTTAATAGTTGGGGAAATCATGTCTACACGCTAATCTTTATTCACATTCTGTTTATTTTTTAGCTTTGGATCAAATAAAGCAAATGTGAATCAAGGTACAATTTTAGGGATCGTTTGAAAGTACTTTTAAAATGACTGAAAGTGTTTTTGATGAAATTGATTTTGAGTTCCAAAAGTACTTTAAAAATACTTTCAGTTATAGGTTATTTGAATATGTACCCCATCGTTTCTTGGTTTCCTACATTGTGCTTAGTTAATACATTGTATAGTTACAATCGCATTTTCCTTTTCTAGGATCACAATTGCATTTGAGAAATATGATAAGGTTGAAAACTGTAAGAGAAATATTGATGCTCCAGGGTTATAATCCTTCTTGAAAGCTTGATGTGAGTTTTTCTGTTGCATTTACCTTGTCATGAAACCCACAACATTATCTGTTGCATTTAAGAAAAATGTTGTAGGATTAGTTTCTAATGTTATATTTTTATGGTTGAATAAGTGTATAGATGTTGCAGTTGATCACTCGTCGTCGGAGTGTGACCAATGCACCTCCTGCATTATTAGCATCTACGGCTCCAGCCGTGAGTGCTCCATTGATTAGCGAGCCTACACCCTTTGCTGAGGCCACTCCTACGGCGTCCCAGGTGCCCGTATCATTGACGTCATCAGTGTCAGTTGAGCAGCTCAGTGCACGGCAGCCTCATCGACGGCGCCGTGAGCCGGAACCTTCTGATCACACTTCTTCGGAATCCAGAGTCGAGTGTGAGGCCTCCTATCCAGGTAGTTTTTTCTAATTCTCACTACGCTGTATTTTTTTTTCATTTTAAAACTATTATTTTTATGATGGTGAAAATTTGCTGGATTGTGAAAATCTGTTGCTGGTTGTGAATTAATGTTATTTTATTATTTTAAGGTTTTGGAAAATGCTATACTATTACGGAAGGTTGTGTCGAATTTTTTTTTACAAATTTAAGTTTTGGGATTTCACCATTTAAGTATTTTTGGCCAGCTAAAAAAAACACCAGAGGACCTAGTCGAATGCTGAAGCAGTCACAGAGCGCACGACAGGCCGCCTCCAAGATCAAGATTGCGTATGACGCGCAACATCGTGGAGCAGCTACCTCACAGCAACATAGCTTCATTGCTAGTAGCTGTGGTGTTGTTATTCGAGACAATTGTCCTTTTCAGTGGGAGTCTTGGGCAGAAATTCCCGAGGAGACGAAGAGAATGGTGCGACACGAGTTGTCGGTTAGTATATTAATTTTTAGCCTTTATCATTTTTTTAATTTTGTTTACAAATATTAAAAACCAAAATATATTATCTTAATATTATTAAATTTCTTACTATTATTTTATTGTTTTTCATATTCGTAGGTCATTTATGATCTTGAGGACATATCCCTTGAGGTCATGAACTACTTAGAGGAGACCTTAGCAAACCGGTACAAAAATTGGAAGAGCACTTTTCACACGTTTTTTAAGCGATGGGATGATCCAGAGATTGCTCGCCTACATGTTCCAAGCGAGTTAAAGGACCGGCCAGATGATTGGGAGTGGCTCTGCAAACATTTTACGGACCCAAAATTTGTGGTATGTACATAATATTTTAATAATAATTTATTATTGTTTTAGTAATTTTTTAAGCTTTTTTTATTAATTTATTTCAAATAGTTGCACTAACATGTAGACCTGTGTGTTTAACAGAAGAAATCTGTTGCTGGCCAAAAAGCTCGTGAGTCAAAGACACTTCTCCACCATTCCGGTTTGAAGCCCTTTTCGTATAGGCTTCAGACACGACGTCAGGTAAAAGTATATTAACTTTGAAATTTTATACAATTTATTATTATTATTGATTAATAAAATTTTCTTACTGTTTTTTTTCTTCAGGAGGGTTCTAAGTTCCCAGCAATCGACATGTTCAAGGACGTTTACGTTCGACCTGGTCAGGAGATTACTGAGCAGTTTCATGTAAGTATATGTAATTATTATTATTCTTATATGTATGAATCATTCAAATATTATTTATATTTTGTTATTAAACATTATATGTTTTTTCTTTATTATTATAGGCTACTATTGTGGAAAAGAGCACTTCTGTTCTCTAAGAAGCAACATCGCAGCTTCCCCCGGAGACCCCGATCGAGGACGTCACGATACCTGAGGATGTAGGTTTTCAGATCATGACTGATGTCCTGGATTAGAACTTAGGTCGTCGTCGTGGCAAGGTTGTTCAGTGTATGGGGAAAGCACAGATTCGTGAAACGGGTGCCTCTTTTTCCAGATCAAACGCAGAGGTAGATGCATTGAAGGAGGAAGTGACAACCCTAAAGGCCCAGGGCGAGCAGATGAAGGAGCAGCTGAGGGCCCAGGGCGAGGAGATGAGGTCATATGCCGGGGCGTGGAGAGACCTTGTACAAGCCATACAGATGTCCGGCCTTCAAATCTCACTACCAGCACTTTATCTTGGTCCACCTTCGACCTCAGAGCCACCTCGCCCTGCTGATACCTAGTAGCTTGATGTATTAAACCTAGTTCACTTTTAGTTTTTTCTTTTTTGTTCGGATCTTGTATGTACATTTTCATATATTTTATAATTAAATACTTTTGCTTGGTTAATTAATTATTCTTTCAAATTTAATTACAATATTTATCAAAAATTAAAAAAAAAAAAAGTTTGACCAAAACTACTCCCCACTTTGCACGACCAATCACTTTGCACGACGTATGGCTCCGTCGCGCAAACCCACTTTGCGTGACTCATGCGTACGTCGTGCAAAGTGGGTTTGCGTGACGCACTCGTTGGTTGTGCAAAGTAGGTTTGCGCGACGCACAAAGTGGGTCGCGCAACGTGGGTTTGCGCGACCTACTCCATTAGTCGCGCAAAGTGGGTTTGCGTGACGCACAAAAGTGGTAGTGCAAAGTGGGTTTGAGCGTCCAACGGAGTGCGTCGCGCAAAGTGAGTTTGCGCGACGCACAAAGTGGGTCGTGCAAAGTGGATTTGCGCGACGCACTCAGTTGGTCGCGCAAACCCACTTTGCGCGACGCACGCCGTGGATCGTCGCGCAAACCCTAGCGTCTCAGACTTTGCGCGACGATTAACGCGCGACGAAGGTTGCGTCGCTCAAACCCTTAGGCAACGATTTTTTACTTTGCGCGACGAAAGTACCTACGTCGCACAAAGTGTTTTTTTTTTTACTAGTGATGCTACATATATCTATTGATCATTAAATTGGTATGTGCTCACAATCTTGCCCATTTGACACATTAACAACTTGCAACGAACTACAACCTTAATAACTAGGATAGTTTTTGGGCATTGAAATTGGTAATTGAATCCTCGATTTATTGACTAACAAATCTATTTTAGTTGACTAGCGGGCTTGACTAGCCAACCTAGCGGATTATAATTTTTTATATACAAGATATTTCACCTGGTACCAATTTCATCTAGAGTAATAGAAAAAGCCTGAAACTTGCACATTGATATAAAAAGAAAGGTGTGTCTGTAGAATGAAGAAACTCCTCAACCCAATTAACAGAACCCGTAACTAAAAAGACCAGTCTAAAAGGTCAAAAACTTTCCTAATGTCTAACTTTAGGACAACATTACCCTCCACACATCTTTTATGTAAAATATTCATGCATTCAAAAGTAAGAATTGGGTGCAATTGGCCTCATTCTATAAGTGAGGATGAGTGATTATTTTGAAAACAAAGTTGGCTAAAGTATTAGGACGGAGTTGTGAAACTGAATCTGCACTTGGAATATTAGGATTAAGAACCACCAAATTAGAATCAAAATGAAGAGGAACTCTGAATAGCCAAAACCACATTTGCACCAACAATACTCCAATAAGAAGCAAAGAAGCAACAATTAAACCCATCTGGCCTAGAGGAGAGCTAGAAGGATCCATACTTTGTACCATTGAAAATATCTCATTAAGATGGGCACCCTAAGCAAAGAAATATTCTTCTCCGCCATCACCAAGGAGAAATTACTCTTTCAACAATCCCAGAATTTACTGTATCATCACTTGAAAAAAACAAACTTTTGTAATGAGACACAATGTGATCTTGAATAGCACCAGATCATCCAAAAGATTTGAACCGTCATGAATTGAAGCCAACTTTTTAACACCCGACGAGTGGCATCATCAGAAATACGCACCCTCACTGGAGCGTGAACCCGAAGCAACTATTTTAACACCCAAAGTGAAACCATCATCAGCCACATATGATGAAACCACCAGAGTGAACGCAGAAGAGACAGAACCTGCATCTGTTGGTTTTGAAAGGATCTCTAAGTCAACCATATCTATCACAACTTGAGAGTCCTTGCAAGCTTTCGAAATTGTCTTAGGATTAAAACTTGGAGGAGCTTCAGAATAAACTAAATCATTTAATTCACCCGCTACCTAATCAGCGAAAATCATATTCTTAGTCGGATGGATAGCTTGCAGTTGCACCGTTGTAGGTTTCACCATGAGAGCTTGTTCGATAAATGACGCATCCGCACCAGTCGTTTGAGGCGAAGGGTCCACATCCCGAGAGTTATATACCGGAGAAGTAGAAATTATTACGTCTTTTTCAATGTCGACCTTATCAACTAAAGCGCTCTACGGATAAAAGCTCCCCTGGTACTTGGGCGACGACGATTAGTTCTTGACTTGGAGCGGCCACGAATGCGGGGTTGTCCATGCTTAGATGCAACATCATCAGAAACTCTACATATCTTTGAGGACTTTCGTTATACAAAATATTAGGCGACGAAATCTTCTTGTGCCGGACAAAATCCTTTCGTCTGGTAAGCATATTTTATTTTATTTTATTTTTTGCAGTGGTTTAATCCGAATTTGCCACCAAATGGTTAAAACCTCTAATCGGTTAAAGGACCAAGTCCTCCCCAATTGGCTAGGATGCAGTCTATAAAATAAATACCAACATGATACATTAGTCCAAACCATCCAAGGAAAATAACATTCTAAAAATGACAAATAGGACCAATATGCCTAAAACAACCTATATGATCTGGTATTTAACGGTTTTTATACATAAACCATCAAGCACATATTCTTGAACACTATTAGGTAGACCAAATTTGTAGCCTAAATTTGTAAACTAAATTATGTGTCATCAATAAAAAATAAACTTGTCAATTAAAAATATAGTCTCCCTAACATTACCCACTCTTGAATGCTCCTCACATAAAAATATAGTATTAAATAATTTATATACCATGATATGAAATGACTATCATATGAGATTGTGTTATGAAAAACAATAAATTATTTGGCATCAATAGTCAAATGGTTATGAAAAAACCATGAAATTATTTGGCATCAATGGTCATTTTATGTTATGAAGTTAAAATTTTGGACGGTGTCTAAAACTCATGGGCGGGTAGCTACAGAATTGAGCGTCCAAGTATTTAACCAATTCGAGATTAAAACCTAAAATTCTAAGCTCTGCAGGGTGATTCTACACGATTTATTTAAAATCATTATATAAACAATTCAGATCGTTGAAATACATTACAACCATTAAAACATTCATTTGTGGTGGAAAAATAGACGAATTAAACAAATCTAAAACTATTATAAGACATCCATTTGTAGTGAAAAAATTGGTGAATATGGTTCTACAAAGAAACTCTTAATCCAAATGTCATATAATTTCAGATTTGGGTTATTTTTTTGTAGACATAAATTTTTAGGAAAAATCTAAAAGATAGACGGTTTGGAGCGTTGAAGACATTATGAAGTGGCCCCACAAACATGTGTGTAAAAAATAGTATAAAAAAATGGTGTCACGAATCCGTCCCTCCACCGGGTTTTCATTGGAACCGGTCCATTAACATCCTACTTGATAATTTTAGTTGGTCAAAACATGAAGAAAGTAGCCAGGAAAATAGGAAGACCAGCGTGAGGCTCATGAAAAGAAAACCAAAGACATGCAAAACTCACTCTACTATCCTAATTGACCACTCTTAGAATTCGTATGAAGAAACTAGCATGAAAACAACACTCACAGCATGTATTCTCTTAATTATTTGAGAGTAGAGCATTAATCTCCTTAATTGCAGAAATTGCCTTCCCTTTCGTCTTACTGTTTCTCTATCACCTTGGAAAATGGCTGAGCAACAGCTCAAAGAACTAATCAGCTCCTTGAAAGACCAAGTAAGTTTATTCACTTCACACCCTTTTTTTGTTCGGTTAATTTGTTTTGCTTATTTTATATTGAATAATTTCTCTTCTCGAATCATTAATTTGAAGGGTTTTCTCTTAATTGACTGAAGATGGTGATTTGGTCATCGTAGCTCATTTCAGTTGGTCATAGTAGCTTATTTCAGTCATATAATATAGAGTTATTTATTTATTTATTGATTTATTTTTATTTAAGTTATTCTTTTAAATTTAAATACAAGGATATATTTTACACTAAAGGAAGGGGAAGTTCGGCTAAGTCAGATAATGAGCAACCTAATTTGATATCAAATTCGTCATATATAATACGAAAGAAGTTACATTATATCCTGAAATCAAAGAGGATTAAATGCACATTATAGTAATTTAATTTTAAATTTTATACTCACTTTCTCTGTTACTTCTTATTTTTGTCGCACTTATTCTATACTGCAAAAAAATTCTTCTACCTAAACACATGCATAATAGAGGTTGCTAGTATTGATTAATTTTTAGACATTATTAACCATGTTCTGCAGGGCATTTTGGACGACTATATTGACGAAGTGAAATCGTTACAAGACGAAAATAATCCTCACCTTTTGAAAAATCTCATCAGTCCGTTCTTTACTAGAATTGAAGAAATCATAGCGGAGCTCACAACAAATCTGTATTTCCTTCACTATTTTCTTCATTTATATATACATGTATATATATGTATGTGTTCCAATATCCTAATGGATAGAATATTCGTTTTTAACACATATGTTTTGGGTTTAA